ACATCTCTCCTAATTCTTCCATATCAGTATATACACAGCTAGTTTCTTTATTTGAGTCCGTAAATGCAATGCTTACGCCTTCCGACTACATGATTGCTTTAGGTTGATTTTAATTTGCCACACATTTCATGGAACATTACTGACACCGTTGTTATACCAGTTTCATCTAGGGATAGCTTCAATGAATTTCTGGAGGAAATGGCTGAACTTTGCCTAAAACAAATAAATATTTGTCCAAATAAGTTTGGAAAGTTCTTGGATCTCGTCTACGTTGATTATGTTCCAAAGTCTTCTATTAATCGGATGATCCCCTAGTTTTGACAGAGGATGCATACCATCCCGCTCTTGAGTTAAGCTACGAAATCATAACACATAGCATTACATAATAATATTTAAGTTGTATAGTTCAAGTACTAGGTATGTTTTTGCAAAAGCTAATTTCAGAAAAATTAACAAAGAACTTTCAAAGTTATCTTGACCAATATATATAGATGACGTGGAGCGTAGCGTTGAACACTTTAATGATACTGTTTTCAATTTGTTTCGAAAGTATGTTCCAAAACGTAATATTGTTCAGGAAGAACCAACACAATTATGGTTCACTAAAGATTTAAAAAAATTTAAAAATAAAAAGTCACATTGTTTTAAACTGTGTAGAAGAACGGGCTTACGCAGTGATTACATAAAGTACTCGGTTTTGCGGCATAGCTACTTTCCACTAAATAAGAAATATTATGTTTCATATTTATGTAAAATTTAAAAGAATTTAATTAACAATCCTAAATCACTTTACGGTTTCGTAAATCCAAAGCGTAAGGTACATGGATTTCCGTCCGCTATGCACTATCGCAATACTGTGTCTAGCGACAGCCAACTCATTGCCAATATGTTTGCCCAGTTCTTTAGGTCCAATTATTCTGTAGACTCTCCTACAAGTGGAGACTATCCGTATGAACTCTGTTCGATTAACTCAACTTATATTCCAGTAATATTTTCCGATGAAGTTTAACACTATTTAAAAACCTTAAAAGCGTCATTTAGGCCTAGACCTGATCGTATTCCGACCTGTTTCCTAAAAAACTGCGCTGAGAACATCTGCGAGCCTTTAACAACTTTATTCAACTTGTCACAAAACATGGAGTTTTTCTGTCAGCCTGGAAGGGATCTTTCATAATACCACTTCACAAAAATGGCAGCAGGTCTTCTATAGGAAACTATCGAGGCATAGCGAAGCTCTCCACTATCCCCAAATTATTCGAAGCAATTATTGTTGATCAGCTGACATATTCTATATCTTCTTCAATTTCACAATCTCAACACGGGTTTTCTAAAGGAAAATCTACTATCACTAATTTATTGGAGTTTACAACTCATGTCTCAAACGGTTTTAGAAAAAATGCTCATACCGATTTGAGTAAAGCCTTTGACAAAGTATGTCACTCGTTACTCATCCGAAAACTCGACCTAATCGGCTTTCAGCCCAGTCTTCTTCAATGGATCTCTTCTTACCTCTCCGATAGAACACAGAGAGTTATTTTTAAAAACTGGTCTTCCAATATCGTTAAAGTTTCTTCTAGGGTTAATTCATTAATGATATTTCTTCTATAATAAAATATACAAAAATTTTAATGTATGCCGATGATGTGAAACTTTTTAAAACATTGTCCTCTATCGAAGAAAAGTCTTTGTTACAAGCGGATGTAAGCAACGTGGTTTATTGGTGTTATGCAAACTATGTGCCACTAAATCTTAAAAAATGTAAAGTTATGCGTTTTTCTCGAAAGGCAGTTCAATCAGCTGTTTATTTATTATCAAATTATAATCTGGAGAAGGTATCCAATTTTGTCGATCTTGGTATCTCAATGGTTACCGAACTCAATTTCAACCTTCATATTAATGTTACAGGCAATGGCGCGTATTCATAGTCCAGCAACTAACAGGTCTTTAAAAAGATTGTAACCGGTAAATAAAGTTCCTGTCAATTTTTAAACCCTTTTCGCATTCTGTGTACTCTTGTAACCGGTAAATTTTGTTACCATCTCATAAGCTGGTAACAAATTATTGCCCCGTGAAATATGCAATGCCAGGATTTTCACAATTCTTCATATCTGAATTGCTGAATATTTTAACTGCATTACCAACGTACCTAGAATCGCTGTGACAAGAACTGGTAACATTTTTTGGTAATACAATTTTCCGGTTACAAAATCTTCAGTAACGTGCAGAATAGACCTGTAAGTCGAAACTAACAAAGTTGCAACTTAAATTTAAGTACCAACTTAAAATTTACCTCTATTGATAGTCGCATTTCAGACTTCTACTAAGTAGTTTCGACTTGGTTTACGATATAGCAAAACGAGTGTGAAAATGTATCGATTTTTCTTTACGATATTTTGGAAAAATTACATTTTTAATAAATAATGTCAAGTTTGATCATCCGTTTATGTAATTTTTATTTTCATTGCATGATTATGCAAAAGAATAAGGTATCATTTTCTTGTTAATTGTGTGAAATAGCCAAAACATACGCAGTGATGTGAAGTCGATGTTTATCGAAAGCATACAAATAGTAGATATCTAAATGTTATGCACAAATTTACTTTAAAAGAACTAGCGTGAAACTGACTTATTATTTGAGAATTTATCTAAATTATTCCCATTATAAAATAGTGATATAGCTTTATTCGAATTGTAATATGCTTTTAATTTCATCTTCCGATTAAAATGGATCGATCTTTGTAAATTTTAATTGGAGATTATTCAATATTATCAAAATTACCCTCTACCAACTTAATTTTTACATATTTCGTCTATTTTCCCTTAATTTGATAAAATACTTCTTCCTAGTTACGACTTAGTTGCAGCTGCAGTCGAAACTAAATTTTAAGTTGGTACTTAGCCAGAAAAGTCGAAACTAAGGCGACTATGAATAGCTTTAGTTGAGTACTAAATATGACTATGAATATGCGCCAATAAAGCCAAAGGCGTTTTTGCATTTGTAAAGCGATAGTCAAAAGAGTTCAAAGATCCTTATGTTACAAAAGCTCTTTTTACCACTTTAGTTAGTTGTTGGAAAAGCAACAAAAAATGTGCCAGATTTTTACGTAGCAACTTCACACATAAAATGCTACTCATCGTGAGCTCCGCTAATGCATTAAATATTTGCAATATCTTTTGAGCTTTAATTTTTGAGAATCTGAAAGAAAACAATAGCTAATGAAATTAGCAGATACCTACATTTTGTGAAACTTTAGTGCTATTTTCCATTTTTGTATTTTACAAAATTTGCTTTCGGATGTAGACAAACAACAGCTGTTATTTTAAATTGATTTCTTACACATTTGTGCCCGGAAACAAGATCCGGACTGTTTCGGGCACTCGTGGGACCCCGCGGGTTTGTGTCGAAAAAATCTATAACTACATAAATACATATGAGCACTATTGCCAACTTGGTGCTTTTCGAACGAAATTAGGTGCTTTTCTGTATTTAAAACGAGAAATTTTTTTAGTTTAGTGCTTGGTGCGTTTTTTGGTGCTTTTGATTTTAGTTTAAAGACACCAAATCTGTAAATCTTAAAAAAGAGAGGAGCAAAATTTATAGCAATCGTAAGTTTTGTAAGCAACTTTACAAAAATGGAAACAAAATCATGTCACAATGACAATCATAAGCAAGAGAGCATACGTTTACCTACAAAATATGTGGCAGCACTTTCTATCATGTCAGACTTACATTCGGTAATTCGCCACTGCTGGAACCTTGAGTACACAGCTTTTTTGACACAAAAATATTTCTATGAAATAAGATACATACATTAGAAAGGGAAATCAAATTTCGTAAAATTTCCTTTAGTTCACAAGATCATAAGAGTAGTGTAGATTTAAACTACCACATAGTATTTCATGAAGCTTCATTTCTTGTTTTTGTTTTCGTTTGAAAAAATTAAGTAAGAGGGGAAAAAATTACATTAAAACAGTCAGGGAAAATTAATCAATTCTGCTCACATCTTAGCGAAACGGCAACGCTGGACACAGCTGCAAATTAGAAAATAAGAACAAGAATCTTAACGGCGCTTGGACGAAAATGTTTGAATTTAAAGAATCAGAATAAATTCGACCGTCGAGTAAGGTCGGTGTTTTTGGCAAGCTGCGTGCAATTATTGTTGCAGCAAACTCGGAGAGAGCGAGTTTGGCGATTCTCACAGCAAACTATTTTTTTTGGGCCAAACTCCTGTAAAATTAGTGTTGCTATACACAAAAATTTTAGGTAATTATTGTTATACACAAAAATTGCAGTGATACCGAATGACAGATAACTGAATTTATGCTGTAGGCGCTTCAAGGCATAGGGCACAGTTAATTGCCTATACAATATCATAAAAAATATTAATTTGTGCACAATATGTACATCTGAAATTTTTATTTCGTGTTGGCAATAGCCATGAAAATCACAATCAGCGATATAACCACCTCCGAGCAAACTACGCAGCCGCCATTTAATTTGACAAACAAAAGCTTGTCTGCATAACACCGACCTAAGAAACGTTGATTTTTATTAATTTGAATGTAGGGATCTACAATATTTTTCTTTTGCATCCAAAGTCCATTTAATACTCCAATAAAACTTTGGTGCCATTTTCGAGAAAATGCGCGATTTTTTTCGGGTTTTACTGCTTTCTTTAATTCAAAACTTGGGAACACTGCATATGAGCTCTGTTCTACACGAGCCCACGGGTGCACAAAACAGAGCGAACACGCTCAATATTTGGATCGTAAATGATTTCATCCTTGTTTACGAAACCACCCGGACTTTTTGGTTACTTGCGTTCCTCACGCTAGATAGCATTTTCTTTACTCTCTAATTACCGGATTTAGCCCTGGAAGCATGTGGAGCAGAGCCATGTATGCAATCGTTAACGTAGTTTATTTTCTAAATATTTAAATTTAAAAAATGGGTAGCTAATACGTTCATACATAGATATTATGTATTTTTTTTTTAACAGGTTCCCGGTAAATTTACATCAAAAACATCACATACACGAATGAAAGACTCGGTTGGTTACGCAGCATCGAATGGTTTCGAAAGGTCACAGAGATTTACTTTTCAAAGTACAATACGTTTGCTAGAAAAACAGCGTTTAGCTGAACGGCTTGTCAAAGATGCTGAGCTGCGGGAGGCGCAACGGAAAACTGAATTGGAAGCGATGAACCGGTAACTATTTCTTTCAAATTCGAAAATACGTTCAGTTAGAAAATACTAATCCTCAAGGCGTCACAGTTCAAAATGCTTATCGTAACTTTTTTAAAAAGAAAGTTCGACCAGATTAGTAGACATTGGCGTCGCTACCTTCTATATATATAATACTACCAATAAAAAATTGTAGTTTTTAACAAGTTACAGATATGAGCAATTTTAAAAATTTAATTGCTTTCGAGTCCCGCGTTTCTGTTCCGCACTTTTCTCACCAAACTCAAATTTCATATACATATACAAGGTGAATTCATTTCAGCTGATGTTAAGTTATAAACAGAACGAAATCGCTAAGCGAATTTCGACGAACAGATCTTAGCCGTCGGGTGATATTTGCCGCAACATTTCGCCCAGTAAAACAGAACCGAAACGAAATTCGCATAAATTAAAAATATAAAAATACAAAACTGAAAAGATGAATCCCCAAACTTTCCCATTCTGTTTCTTCCTGATAACACAGTGCTACAAAAAGAAGTCATGAAATACACCCGAAACAAATCCTAGTGTAGGTTGTAGGTATGGTCGGGTACAACATGAAAGTAGGTCCCGTATAGTTTATACCAAAAAACAATATTATTTTCGTACTTGATGCACTTATCTATTAATAGCTTGACTATTTTCCAACTACTTGACTGATCTCGACCAAATTTGATATACACATGGATATTCACACCGTATCGATTTTCCTTGAAATCGGACAAACATTACTCCCCCTGAAATATAGCTGGCCTTGCGTTTTTTGAAATTACCGCTATGTGGGGCACGTGGGTTTTGTCTTATTTCAAAAAAATTCCACGCGGTGCTTAAGGAGACCAAGCTCAATGCGTATATCATATTTGGTCGAGATCGGTCAAGTAGTTTTTGAGATACGCATATATGATATATTTTATTAAAAAATTTTATACAAAACAATTATGAGGTGGGTTTTATCGAAGGCTGAGGTAGCTCAGCCGCTCCAGGGTTGAGTGGAGGTCCCACTAACCCCCACTGAATAAAATAAACACTGTAGTTAAATATAGCGAACACAACCACACACACACGCGGCCGTTCGGCCAGGCTGCCGGTACCCTGACGTCCACGAAGAGACTGGAGAGAGAGAGCGACTAACTGGTCGGCGTCGTGGCTCAGAGAGCGGAGACTGTCTAGTGGCTAGTGACGGTGGTGGTGATGTTGAGAGCAGTGACGGTGAGAGCGGTGATGGTTCGGTGATTAATAACAGTGAGAGCGGTGGCGAGCGTGATGATGGTAAATGCCCACAGCACGGGTACTGCAGCCAATGAGAGCGACGATGCTGATCGTGACGGCAGTAACAGTCCCTTTAGTAGTTATAACAACGGGCCTCTGATGAGTAACGGCGGTGACAGCGGCCCTGGATGGCGATGATGCTAGCGGCAGACTGCAAGTAGCGGTCCTCGGTAGCGGTTTGGCCTAGGGGCGGCAATGATATTGGCGGCCCAATGGTGAGGAAGGCGGGAGTCCGGCCCTAATGAAGGACGACGGTGCCCTGGATGGCGATGATGTTGCTAGCGGCCCTGAAAGGTGGCGGCTCTTGGTGTTGCTTTCGGCCTGGGGCGGCAGCGATGCTTAGTGGCGGCCCGATGATGAGGAAGATGGCCACTCGGCCTTAAGAAGCGGTGATAATGATGACGGCCCTGGATGGTGAAGATGTTGCTAGCGGTCCTCCTTAATGACAGTCGGTGGCGGTTCCTCGTTGTAGTCTTGGCCCAGGGCGGCACTTCATATTGGCGGTCTGAAACGGTCACGGAAGTCACCTACGGAAGATACGGAAGCTGGTCGTCAATATGTTCCCACAAACCACCAACCTGTCCCGTAGGCAGGGCCAGGGGCGCTCGAGGTTACACGGCCTAATCCGTCCCGATGCGCTCCGTGCCTACCTACGGCAGCTTGGTCAGTCTGTACTCCCCATGTGCAGAGCCAGGGGCACTCGAGGTTACACGGCCTAAGCCGTCCCGATGCGCCCCGTGCTTACCCATTGGGGTGAGACGGTACGTATTCAATCGTGGTGGCTTGAAATTGTGGGGCGGTTTTATCCACCGCACAATGCCTGCTCGCCACGCGGTATCTAAGTGGGCAGGAGAGTTCGTCTGTGCGAGGGGTATTCCCGATTTCACAGGCCCCCCTCAACCTCTCGGCCTTTCCCGCAGGACAAGCCAGGGCGCTCGAGGTTACACGGCCTAAGCCGTCCCGATGCGCTCCGTGCTTACCTACGGAAGCTGGTGCTGGCTGAGTTGGCGTTAATCAACTTAAATCGGTTGTTGGATAAGCAGGTTGAGAAGCGAATGAAGATCGTGATTTTTGGCATGTTTGAGCAACGAATTCTCGCGGAGTATTGGTGTGTACGAATGCTTTGCACTTTTGCGTGCTTCCCTTTGGTTGTTCATACGTATGGGTGTATGTATGTATGGGTGTATGTATGTATGGTTGTATGTATTCATGTAGATCTGTATGTATGTATATAAATATGTAGCGTATGTATGGCTGGATGTGGATATGTATGTACGTATGTATGTACTTGTGGGTTTTATGTATGCATGTACGTCAGTGTAGCGTAGGGGAGCTACATTACACAATTTTTATGCTTAAGAGCCACTGTGTATATAAATTTTGCGTAAATAATGATGAACTCCTTAGCCACACTGCTCAAAAATTCTGCACGTCCGGTACACACATATATAAATTCAAGGCCGTATTTTTGCTTAAATTGCTTAACTTCGACAATTTTTATGAAATTGGATTGGATGAGGTATCAGTTTCTTTGAAAATAAATGTTTTTTTTTTGATAAATACCACATGTTTCGCAACTTTCATAGACATTTTTGAAATTAGCGATGATCAAAGTTCAAAAAAGGAAGAAAAATATGGGCTCATTAAAATTTAACCGATGAAAACTCCCAACAAGCTAGGTCTAACAATACATTGTTAGACATCGTTTTAAAGGTATATAAATCCTATTTTCAAAACTTGTTCGATTTTTAAAATCGGATGAAAACTGGTCAAGCTATTAATAGATAAGTACATCAAGAACGAAACTAACGGTTGTTTGGGTATAAGAAAAAATGGAAGGTTCAGGAATTACACGGGACCTATTTTCAGGGTTGACAGGTAATAAGACCAACGGAAATAAGGTAAATTGACTTTATTTCCCACCCTGGTGCGAACTAAAGTCAATTGACGTTATAATCTTTTTAAAAGCGAAATAAAATCCATTGACATTATTGCTCTTTCAAACATTAAATTTGCTTAGCTTCGCGGCGGCCGGCGGCCGGCGTCCGCGCGCCACACCACGTCACGCTACGATATAAAAATCCACCTAAGATTTAACTGTCATCAGTGATATTAATGCTACCTTATATAACGCTTGACTGAAGAATTTACCATATTATAAATTGGAAACCAGAAGTAATATATCAGTGATGACAGGTAATAAGTCCCAGATGGTTTCTAAAATCACAAATTACTTTTTGTGCAAATTGCAGATAGAGGGTATTAATGAATTTAAGCCCTCGATATTTCACATATTTATATTTGCAAGTTATTGGAAGCATTCTGCTGTGTTTTGGCAACAACTTGTCTGCACTAAAAAAGCATATCATTTGTGTTTCAAATGTGTGAAAACCAAAAACCAATCAATTAACTTACATGATCTCGGTTCCGATATTAAATAATCAATAATTGTTTATACCCGCATTTTGGCACATTGGCTTGTTGAATGTGCCATCTAATAAATAAAATGTCGTCGTTCTCCTTAGCTGCTTTTAAATGATGTCACAAATTGCTGGCGGAGACATGAATACAGTGTAAGAAAATTCCTATTTTATAATTGTTTCCTTATAGAAAGGTTGGTTTCTTTTCCACCTTAGACATTCCGAGTTCGTTCAAAATCTTCTAATTTAAAACACATGATTCTTTCAGTGCTCCTCCGGGGTTTTTGGACATGGACTGTTTCTTCAATTTAATAGTGTTCGCTTTATTTTTGTGGAAACGAAACATGTTTTGCCAGTTCTGGATCATTTCTATACTCTTTCTTCAAATATTTCTCGTATTCCAGCTGCGTTTTGCGTTTGGTTTTTCGCATCGTGTTTTTACTATATTCGTAATTTTAAACTTTTTAATGAAATCAATTGGTGGTAGTTCATGATTGTGTGTGGATTAATAGCACCACACTGAGGATTTGGCAATAACCTTTCACCTATTAAAAAACAACACTTAGGGGCAATGTTTATTGTAAGAACAACATTTTTTTCTATGAATCGATATACTTTAAGCATTGTTGACGCTATTTCAATTTGAATGAGGAAATAGCGTCAATGACTTTATTTCCAAATTTTTGTAGACTTTATTTCGCTTTTGAAAAGGTAATAATGTCAATTGACTCTATTTCGCACCAGGGTGGGAAATAAAGTCAACTGACCTTATTGCCGTTGATCTTGTTACCTGTCACTATTTTCAGGTTATACTCGAACATACCTACAACATACACTTTTTTTGTAGCACCGTGTAATTATCTGCTAGAAAAGTGAAGAAACAAAGGTATTTTTTCTCTGTTCTCGCCGAATTTGGCCTTTGCTTTGGTTTTGTGCAATCTTATATACAGCAGTGTGTTTAAATTTTGACTGCGAACTTACTTCCGACGAAGTTCGCTCAGCGATTTTATTCTGTTTATACTTTTATTAGAAGAGCTGATATCAGTGTTGCCACAAAGACTTTTAATTTTTTACCAAACCTCTAAAAAAAATTATCAAATTTTTATGAGCATAATATTCTAAAAATATCGGAAATTATATTCAACAATTTTTATTGAGCTTGAGGCCGTTTTTAATGAAAAACTACTGTGGAAAAGCAACAACAATTTGAACAAATCGTAGAAGTGATAGTTATTTCGGAAATCACCGCATTTCCTCATCAAATTGGAAATTATTTTAATGAAGGAAATTTTTGCACATGCGTTAAGGCGCCTGGTGTTAGCAGTCGCGGCTGAACAATTAGAATACCAGAAAAATATGTATTTGAACACAGCCAAAGCGAAATGCGAAGTTAGCGGCATTTCGTGGCGCTAGATTTAGTTCTATCGCTTCGCCTTTAAAATTTTAGAAGAAAAAAACATACAAAACGAATTATTTTTGTTGGTTGAAAAATACAGGGATCGATTCTTTAAATCTGGCTTAAAATAAATTAATTTATAATGATTTCTCCTTGTTTTTCATATATAGTTGTTATCATTTCATCATTTGTAAATAAGGTTTAGTTTTTCAGAATATGGTCACCTAAATTATAAATGCGACGAAATGGGATCAGCTGCTTTCGATACCGCTCTAATTCAGTTGAAGTAAGCAAAATATCAAATATTTTGTTTCAAGCATATGAAAGGTAAAAACATGGCTGCGCTCCACAACAAGCGTAAATCAACTTAACGGTAATAATTTTTATAAATTATCAGTTGAATTTCTTATAAAATTTAGGTTTATGCATCTTAAGCGTGCATCGAAATTTTGTTTTAGAGAATCAATGTGACATAATTGAAAAAACGAATGACCGGTTTGCTGAGCAACCGAGACGATTGCTTTTAAATAATTCTGTAAAACAAATCAGCAAGTACATAAGTATGTATGTATTAACTTTACATTTATTAATTTTTTATAAGCCTGTTATACATATTTTTGTAGTAAGAAAAGAGTAGTCATATTTCGTGTTAATATTTTTCTATTTATATGAAAAGAAGTTAATAAAATGTAAGATTAGTACTCCACTCTGCCTAGTAAAAATAAACTAAATTGATATTTTTTATTAGTTACACTGAGATTTTGCCGGATAACCGGATTCCGGATACCATGTAAAAATATGAGCCGGATTCGGATATCCGGTAGACTTCTGACCTTAATAAATTTAACAATATTGTTATATTAGGCTTTTTTTTGTTTAGAAACATAATTATGACCAGATTATTTGCTTTTTCGAGATGAACTATCCAATACAAAATTAGGAACACAAAATTGTTTCTTTTAAAACCAAGTTATAAAATAATTCTGTATTAAAAAGATTTTTTTTACAACTATGTTTGAGTACGGACGTCATATTTATTCGCTCCATAAAAAATCATATTTATCGTGTAGCTAAATATAGTTAACCATCAAAAGATACACTAAACTATTATTCGAGTTTTGTGTCGTCACGAACTGCCCTCAGCAGTATAAAAAATCAAAACGTGATAGCGAAAAATACCTCAAAAAATAATAAGACATTGTGTGTATCAAAATAAATAAATTACTGTTTACATACGAAAAAATGCGTGTGTAACACCGTACACATGATAGAAGTGAAACTTCTTAAAAAAGGTGTGAGTACCAGGTACCTACTCACGAAATTGGATGTGTAAACATATGTTTACGTTTCCGCAAACCATTAGGCGATTGAGTTACATACATAGGTTTGGTTAGAAATCGAACAATAATTTCATTTCATCTTATTAATTTTCTGATATACATATAATTTATTTATTCATTTTCCGGACCGAGTTGTAATGGAAGTAATAAATGAAAATGTTTATAATGCAATCAATAGATCCTTACGAACTCGCCATTACCAAGCCACTAAGTAACGTAGGCACTTTTGTTTGCAAATGCATTTATTTAAGTTGAAAGAAGACAAATTCCTTTGTTCGGAATTTATTCTTACTCGCTTTCTATCTTCCAAGGCGAATTCATATATTCTTATCACCAATTCATATATTCATGTGGTAGCAAGTGTATAAAAACATATAATTACCTTATAAATTAAAAGCATAAGTACAGGTAGACCTCGCTTAACACGGGGGTTACGTTCCCGTATAAAACCGTGTTAAACGAAACCGTGTTAAGTGAAACAAGAAACCAGTACAAAAAGTAGGGTTCCGTTCCAGGATATCAAAAAATACATCAAAAGCCGTTTTTTTTACTCTTTATTAATTTTAATTGTAGTTATAACTAAAAAAATAAACAAAAATTGATTTTCATTCTAAAGTTTACTTGTTTGTATGATTAAAAAAATTAACAAACTTAAAAAAATAAAGTAACTAAAGGAATTCAAAATTTATCAAAATACAATCATGCTATTCAAATCTGTTCTTCATCGCTGCTTATGGTCAATCGTGCGCGCTTTTGAGGTGCATCCATTTGGGGCTGTTTTTTAAAAAAATCTGTTAGTTTTGACTGTTTGTTTGACAGTTTTTTATAAATTTGTTTGTATGGTAACATACAATTTTCAAGTTCTCTTTTAAACTTTAATCGCCTTTCAGCAGAAGGATCGGCATTTAAAAAAAACGACTCCAAGTTTTTGGCTAGACTCATTCCCTTTTGAAGATCCTTAACCGTTAATTCATGAGTTTCGCTATCGTCTTCAGTGTCGCTGCTATCAGAATTTTGCTTATTAGGACTTTCCGATATGATTTGAATTAAATCGGAATCTTCTAATTCGGTTTCCTGCAGTAGATCTTGTAAATCTTCTGCCACCATATCATTAAATCCTTCACCGTCGATTAAGTGTGCAATTGCTAAGATTTCGGTAAGTCCGTTTTCTTCAGATGCTACCCCTGTTTCTTCTTACACATCCACAGACGGCAATATTTTATTCCAGCATCCACTTAATGTTGACTTTTTCAGCTCCTTTAATGATTTCGCTATTATTTGGATACAGTCTTTGATTGTCTTCCAAGCGCTTGTTAAATCCACAGATGACGACTCTGTTAAATTTAAAATCCACTGCAAAGACCTTCGGATATAATACATTTTGAATGTGTAAATTATCCCTTGATCCATTGGCTGCAACAGTGACGTGGTATTAGGTGGCATGGACATAATTTTGACATTAGGATGAGTCAAATTTTGTGGATGACCTGGAACGTTATCTAAAAGCAACAAAGCTTTGAAGTCCGAATTCCTCTTCTTTAAATATTTCTCAACTTCTATAACAAAGCAATTATAAAACCAATCACTGAAAATATCTCTGGTAACCCAAGCCTTCGAATTTGCTCTCCAGTAAACTGGCAATGAATTCTTGTCTGTGTTTTTGAGCGCACGAGGATTTAGTGACTTATAAATTAGCAATGGTTTGACTAAACAATCACCGGATGCATTTCCGCACAAAAGCAGAGTTATTCGGTCCTTGGATACCTTATATCCAGGTGCACTCCTTGCATCTTTTGAAATAAAAGTTCTGTCCGGCATTTTTTTCCACCAAAGTCCATTTTCATCAGCATTAAAAACTTGATCCCTTACATATCCTTGGTCGTCAATATATTTTTGAATTTCTTTTGGGAATGTGTTAGCAGCTTCCACATCAGCCGAAGCTGACTGTCCTTGAACTTTTAAGCTATGAATAGCAAATCGTTTTTTGAAGTGCTCAAACCAGCCATTACTTGCAGTAAATTCTGCGGATACAGAAGGCTCTCCACTCTTTTTGAGGTTTTCATAAATGCTCAGAGCTTTTTCTTTGATGATGTGTTTGCTTAAAGGAATTCGCTTTTGGCAGTTATCTTCAATCCAAATATTAAGCGCCTATTCCATTTTTTCCATTATTGGTGGGCGTAGTCGATTGGAATATTTTATGGAGGTTAAGGAGCCATCAGCAACTGATTTTCTTATGGCCGACTCATTTTTCTTTATGGCCCGCACTGAAGCTTCATTTATCTTTAAGTTTTTTGCGACAGCAGCAATTTTTTCTCCTTGGCATAAACGATCCAAAATTATAATTTTTGTTTCCAAAGAAAACAAATTTATAAATTAAGACTTCAAAATTAAATAAGGAATTCTGAAACATATTCTACATACCTATTGAATTGAAATTATTTACTTATCTCACTTAATCAAATGTATGAGCATGTGTTCAGTTATATCCACAGAAGACACTTACATACTGAGCAAACCTGCCAAATTTGTTTGTAACATCGCGTTGCTAGACTTAATTCGGGGAATTCCTGATATCATTGCATATTCAAACACAAACGATGTATAAAAAGCTGCATTGAACAATTCAACAATTATGTAACTCATTTCTTCTCGCTCTCTCTCACAACATTTCATATTATGACCTACGAGTTTTATATGAATTCATAATGTTTGTCGGTAAAAGAGGTCTGCTTCTACTCCAGCAAAATATGTTATACCATTTAGCAGTAGATGGCGTTCAAATTTCGACTTAGAACTAAAAAATATCAGTTAAAATATGAATGTTTTTTTTTTTTTAATAAATGTATTTTAATGCACACACAACAAGTGCAAATATTTTTTGACTTAAAAAAAAAAAAAAAAATCTGGAACCGTGTTAGAACGAGGCCATTTAGCGTGTTAAACGAAAAATGATCACAAAACGTAAACCGTGTTAGAGCGAGGCCGTGTTATAAGAAGTACGTGTTAAGCGAGGTCTACCTGTATCACATGTATGCGTAGTCCAATTCACGAAATCATTTCATCGATCTGAGTAAAAACTAAGTGCATACTCTATTTCGCGTTAATTGAAATCATGAAATGTTGTTCATTCATTCAGTTTCTACTCAAACGCTTGAAATGATTTCATGAATTTGACTACGCATAATGGTAGTAAATGACAGACTGAATTACAACAAACACATCCTTTTGACATAATGCAAGCCGAAAACTTTGGTTCTAATCAATCCGCAATTAAGTTGGACGTTTTGCCCACAAACATTGCAATTTTGCGAGCAGTCTCATTGTAAAATATCATTTTTCCAATTTCATAGTTTCGGCTTACATTTATAAAATTCAACGAAAGCACGTACCTATTTCGGCTGACTTATCCATTTTCGGTTATTTAGTGTACAAAATAAACGCAAATTAAATGAGTTTGTACAACATGGCCATTAATGTAGCGATAAGTTGTACAACTTGCCAGAAAATCCAAATTTTTTGATCTTTCATACAACCAAGACATAAATTCGACAGGCCCTCAAACGGTGCAATCTAGAGCAAAACAACACCAAGTTGAACCAACGGTCGCTACGTTTATGGCTTTCTTTAAGAAACATCGGGCGAAAATTTCAACTGCTCCTGTTACACTATCTTATATAAGTTGGCCTTGCTATCATCCTCACATATGGTCATCAGAGTATACCAACGAAGGACGAGTTAATACAAGGAGATAGCGAGACCACAAAACTACTCTAGAAAATTACACGCACAATGACAAACATGAACAAATGTACAACAAACACATAATTTTTGACTATCAGTACAGTTCGCATTTATATCAACGAGCAGCTTATTAGATTTGTTTTCGTTTGTACTACATATGTGCATATATACATGTGCACAAACATATGTGCATACACAAACATATGTACATACATACAAATATATATACAACTATTCAAACATATTTATACATACATGAAAACATTGCTGTCCATAAGTACATATGTACATATGCCCATCGGTACATCAACGAAGCCGTTTGCTTCATCATCATACAAACATATGTACATATGTACTAATGGATGTAGTTACGCGAAGCACGCTTGCATCATTTAAGCTGATGCCACATAAAACGTTTGCTTCGCTTTACGTGACAGATTCGCTTTGACAGCTAAGATGAATTGTATGAAAATGCACAAAGCATGCCACATAGATCATTGAAGCTGCAGCGCGAAGCGAAAAGATGGCCAACTCCCATCTTTTTGCGCGCTTTGACAATC